TCCCACCGGGTTCTCTGGCCTCGGTTCCGTGCTGTGCGCTGTCCCGGGCTGCTCACAGGGCCCCTGTGCTAGTTGAGGAAGGGGCAGCTGATGCTCGGTTCCTAGTGCTGGTGAAGCTCAGCTTTTGCATTTCCTGCCATGTTCTTTTAGAGTGCCTCTGGCAAGTATGGGTTTCTTGGTAGATAGCGGTGTTCATCCTTGCAAATGCACTTTTCTGTGGCCATGAACACAACGCTCTCCTATTGGAATGTTTGCTTATATTGCAAGTGATTACGTGTTTTTGCTAACCGAGAAAATACTTAAGTGTGCACCCTGGGAAGAGACATGCTCCTAACCAGGCTTAGATTTGCAAGGCAGAGGTAGTATTTACCTGGACTTGACTGGCTGAGCTCTGATAAAGGCCCGTCAAATACACCTGGATATTACTGATTAGCATAGAGAGCAGCAACAATGCTTTAAGATCTATTTTCCTTTTGTAAGATACGTGGGTAAGGGGTATTTTATTAAGTTAGGAAAACATAGTGTTAGCAATGCTTTTATCCTCAACCTTTTTCTCATGCTTATATGTTAGGCTGGCTTTTCTTACTCTCATTGCAAATTATGGGGAAATTGTTAGAAGATTTCTTGTATTTGGAATTTCTTAATTTTCTTACGTTCCCTGCCATTTTGCAAAATGTAAAGTAACACACAACAATGCATTTCTGTATCTTTCAGAAAAAGTCCCTAGAGTCTATAAACTCTAGGCTTCAGCTGGTTATGAAAAGTGGTAAATATGTGTTAGGATACAAACAGACTCTGAAAATGATTCGGCAGGGCAAAGCCAAGTTGGTCATCCTGGCCAACAACTGTCCTGCTTTGAGGTAAGCCTGCTTTGAGGTTCTTTGTACAAATACAGTGTGTGCTTCGTGTTAATTGCTACAGTAAGTTATTAATGGAGAGTACTTCGCTGGTGTATTCCAGAGTGCTACGAAATAAAAGTGATGGGTTAGTTGGTGAATGAGCTCAGGTGTGGGTGTGTTGAAATGCTTCCCAACATTTTTCTAGCTTTCTAATTCAAAGAGTTTGCACTAGCGAAGATAGTGGGAGCTTCTCACACTGTGATAGCATTCATTACAAGTATAATGGGGCTGAGTTCCTGTGGTTTTCTTCAAAGTAGTGTATTGGAAAATAATTTTACGGGTAGGAAAACTGCCGTACACCGATTTAAAATATTTGAAGCACACAAAGTTTGCTGTCTAAGTAAGTTATAAATTTAGGTTCCTGGCCAGTGAAACTGTTGGTTGTTTTTTTTTTGAGAATGAAATCTTTACTAACTTCTTGACATTTTCGTCATTGAATTTCTGGACCCTTTTTGTCATCAAGAGATATCGACAAATTCAAGAAACTGTAGCTGCAGAAAACCAAAATTAGATGCCTGAGAAACGGCAGGGCTGTTAGAGTAGGCAGCATGTTAGTGAGGATCCCAAAAGTGCTTGAAGAACAATATTGACCAACAGAATCTCCCAGTAGAAGTCAGAAGAGAAGGGAATATAGATTGACTCTCTTTAAGAAAAATACAGTTTCTTTCACAGCGGCAGACAGATACCTGTTCTGCATCTGGCCTCTGGGCTTAGCTCTTGCAACCTTTTGGAAGTCTGGAAGTCCTGAATCCCCTTCTTTCCTGAAAAAATAAGTAATGTGTAGGAGCAGTCTCAAGGGTTTGCACTCCAAAAGTGGGTTTGCCATTACATACCTTCAGCGTGCTTCTGGATAAGGGTTCCTGAGCCACACCACAGTAGTGATGTTGCCTGGCAAGAAACAGATGTGTTTTTCTGGATGGGAAGGAAACGTGTGTAAAGTTTAAGCATGGTTGGCATTAAAGCTGTTCTCGCTGTATTACAGTCCATCAGAATAATTTGTTAATATTGTAACACATAATTCTTGAATTTCAGAAAATCAGAGATTGAGTACTACGCTATGCTTGCCAAGACTGGTGTCCATCATTATAGTGGCAACAACATTGAATTGGGCACGGCGTGCGGAAAGTACTACAGAGTGTGCACACTGGCTATCATCGACCCAGGTATGTCTCTTACAGAATGGTGCCCAAATGGGTATGTACCAGAAGCTCCTTCTTTCACCTGTGAGTAGCAGCACTGAGGAAGTAATGTGTGGGTGTGGTGACTTACTTTGCTGTCCTTCTCCCTCTTAATTATAATTTTCTCTGACCAAGATCTTGTTCTTCTTTTGTGAGTCCTGTATTCTTAATTACTGCTGCTTATATTTGCACATAGCTCCTTTTACTGCTAAGCCCCATGAGTGTGCATTCTGTCTACCGTCGGTCTGTAATGAGGTTTCAGTGGCTGGGAAGCAGCTTCACAGAGCATGTTTCTGAGCCCATCAGCTAGAATATGAGCTTGTGCAACATGCTGTTTGCATCAACCTTGTTTGACTATTCTTAATCCAAGAGAAAGGAGTGTGAGTTGTCCTGCTTCCCAGAATGATTTATACAAAAATAACCTATATGCAGGTTGATATTAATCCAGGGTTGAAAATTACATTAAATATTTTATTTTAAAACTGTTAAGTCTGTCTGTAATTACTGTGTAATTAAAAGTACTCTTTGTCCCAGAGAGTTGCTCAAGTTGCTCGTTGGGTGACTTCTTATCCTCTTTCCAGAATCTTCTAAGAGAAGAATCAATCTTTTGTTCCATTTGTTGACTAAAATGTGTACACATGGATTTAATGATTTCTGTAATAACTTTCACCAAATGTTCCCCAAGTGATGTTGTTTTGAATTCGCTCTTTCTTCAGAAAACTTTATTTATCTTGTTTGTATTCACCTAGTAGCAGTAAACTTAATTTTCAAAATGTTACTTTTTGGATAGGAGGGGAGCAAAAGAACTGCTAGTTAATCTTATTCGTATGTAACTTAATGCGAATATTCTCGCTGTCCTGATATTTTTGTGATCAGGGGAGGCTAGACATTCGCTATATTAAAACTATGCATTGTGTCCTCCAGGACTAGATTGTTCCTCTGGTACTGGCTTTGTAAATGCTAGTGACAGGTACATAACTGCTGTAAAAATACTGTGTATGAATCAGAAAAATACAGGTTGGGTTTTTTTGTATTATTATCTTTACATTGCTTTTGTATTTATATTCTCCAAAACAGATCTTTCCGGGGGTCCTCTTGTAACAATGTATCTTTGTTTTACAGGTGATTCTGACATCATTAGAAGCATGCCAGAACAAACCAGTGAGAAGTAAATGCTGTAAAGATGTTATTTCTACAATAAATCTGGTTACAGATCTGTTTTAAGAAAAATTTGTATTACACCTTTGCTGGTTTTAGGGAACAAACTATATAAATGAAGATTAATTATCACTGCTGTGTTTCCTGTTCTGTTAGAAATAACCTTCACAGGACAAAGCTTGCCTGTTTTTCTAGAAGTTATGGATCTTGAGAGGTAAGTGGAGTCAGACTTGCTCATGGCAAGGGTGGTGCCAAATCCCAGCAGGCTAGGGCTTCCTTAGTTTTGGGTTTTGAAGTGCTAATGCAAAACCAAGTTGTAATGTGAGGTACAGTAGCAAATTTGGGATGTTGGTGGGGAATCTCAAAGGGTTTACTTACACTAAAAATAATTCACGCTAGTTTTACCAAGTCAGTCACAAAGTACTAATGAAAACTACCTGCTTTGTCTTTTCCTTCCAAGAGAATTTGCTGTAAAATGACAGATAGGATAGCTGCTAGACATTATGTATAACATCATACTTTCAATAAGATACCGATTACATCTCAAAGCTGACTTTAAATCAGTCTCTTTTAGTTTTCTGAAGATGTTACGTTGGAGAGATGCGAGTTGGTGTTCTCAGGTGGTGTCCTCTTATTGCTGAGGCCATTGCTATATTACATTATTTGTGCCCGTTTTGTGCGAGACCATGACTGCAGGATGTTCCTTATTACTAGTGATTATAAATTGAGGTGCCAGTGCTTTGCTGACATGCAGTAGAAGAAATAACTAATGAAAATCAGTATGTACTGGTACCCTTGCAGAACCTGCATTCTGTTTGCCAAAGCAGAAGGTAACCTTTTAAAGCTTGCCGTAATGTATCGCTGCATGCTCGGTGGCTTATCTGAGGTCATTTAGACTAGTTTTGCTGCAGCTACTGGTATGGAATGGGTGAAGCTGTTCATTTCCATTTGGAGATAGTGAAGAGGCAAACCAATGTGTGTCAAAGCAAGGGAGGAAGTGCTGGTGTCTCTACCTATTAAATCACAGATTTGGATCAATTCAAGAGATAGTTTAGATACTGCTGTTAGTGTGAAAGTAAAGCTAGCAGAAGTGTGCTGTTGCTGCCAAGGGGAAGGACTAAAACTTCAAGGCACTTCAGTTGGCCAGAAAGGCTGGAAGCAATTTTCTGTTTTCATTTGCATCTTAGTGTTTGACAAGTTGTAATGCCCAGAATGTTTTCATAATTAAAGTACTAGTTGCATTCAGGAAAGTTATAAAATCACTGAATGCTTACCAAAGCACAGTGGGGAAAGTTACATGGTCTGGATGTTGTAAGAGGGGGAAAAAGTACTTGAAACTTCAGATAGTGATACTTTGATAATCCACTTTGTGGATTTACTTTGATACAGTTTCAACATACAGAAATTTATTTTACTTCCAGCTGTTTTCAGTAGTCAACTCTTGTTTGAAGAATATAAGTGAGACCTAATTGCTGTGAGTGTTGTCCCACTTGTTCTGCTTTTATATATGTATGTACAGAACTATATATATCCACACAGTTGGGGTGTTTAAAATACTAGCAGAGTGAGTGGAAGAGGGAAACACAGAAAAGCAAGCCTAATAAATTCATACCCTAAAAGTACTTCAAAACATGGAGGTTTCACTTCAAAAAAATAACAGCACTTTATTATGTTGCATAGCTTATTTCAGTTGTTTAGTTCTGCTTAATTATTTTTTGCTACTTACTAATTGTTTATATATATATAATTTTCAACATTTCTTATCTGCAGTCAATGCAAGACAGAACACATAGTATGTAGATGCAGGGATCCAAAATACTCTCTTCAACTTCAGGAACAAGGATTTCTTACTTTACTTCGAACCAGTTTAAGAAAATAGCTCTGACAAGTTTGTATGTATAAATATACAGTGTAGTATACACTTTGAGTTTTGATCAGTATTTTAGCCTGTTTTCCAAGTCTTCCATTCTCTTTGTCATTTCTTCCAGTAGACAGAAGTTAAGGAAAGAGCTGCTGAGTGGATACATAAATAAAAAAAACAGTGTCAGGTGCCTGAGTGCTATGGTCCATAGCTTGGTCTTGTTTCTCCTCTTTGTTACCAACCCTCTTTGACTTCCAGTAGTTTCTGATACAATACTCCCCTGTATTTTCTTGTTCTGCATTGATGAGCTGAGTTGAGAAATGTTAAGCCCCTTTCATTAACGGGCACACTTTGACATGGAGTTCAGGCTGCAGCTTATTAAAAAGGCTGCTGATTTTGAAAACTGGCCATTTTTCTATATTTTATTGGGAAGCTAAATATCCTAGTTTATGCTGTTTAAAAAACATGTCAATCACATGGAAAGCTACATGTAAGCTAATAGATTATAAAACTTACAGAGCTCAATGACTGCAGTGAGCATGTTTGCTGATGATTTTATATTCCAGCCCTGTAGGTACTGTTTTTAAAAGCCAGTGGTTTCCAGATGTGGAGTAGAGCACAACAAGCTCCATGGGATCTGGGGCTGGCTTCATTGAAAGTAAGCAGCTGTAGCAATGCAAAGCAGTGTACAGCATTGGTTTTCTGACAGCAGTGCTGTGCCTGCTGTAGGAGGAAGCTGGATGGATACTGTTTACCTGACCACTTTTCCCTGAGAGTCATTGTATGACTGGAGCTAGGAGAAACTGAGGCAAAGAGGGGACCTAGCATCAAAAGAACTGAAAGCACTGAGGCTCACTTTAAAAGGGCTCAGTTGCAGCACCCCACTCCTTGCTTCTTTGTCTAGTGTCTTGATTTCAGTGTTTAAGGTCTTGTGCAAGGTAAAGTGGAGAAGTGGTCATATAAAAGTGGGATCTTTGACAAAGAGCTGTTAGGAATTGGTTAGAATAGACAGGCAAACTGAATTCAGCCTCTGAGTTAGTCCAGAACAGCTGTGTTCCCTCCCACCCCTGTTGTGCTGACAGCAGGAGAATCTTTCCTCTTGCTAGTAAGGAGCAAGAGTGGGAGTCCTGCTCCTGTGGGGACTACTAGCCTGCCTCTACAGTGTGTTTGTTTGGCAGTTTCTCAGTTGTGTGTCATGCAGAAGGGATTGATACATCCATGCTAGCATCATCTGAGCTGCTTTCTATGCAACTTCAATATTTTTCAAGTGTGTGCAGAGGCAAAGTTCAAGCAGTAGAAACTGCATTCATCTACTGATAGAAAAAGTTAAATGTAGTTGGATACAAATTACCAACCTCAGTCCGCAATCTCTTTTCATTTGGAGTATTGTTTTAAATTACTTGCTGCATCTAGTTCTTCACCAAGCAGTTCAGAAGGGGAAACATCTCCTATATTCTGACTCCTGTAGCCACTAAGTGCTATTTTGAGACTATCTGAAGAAATAACCTAAAGCAAAGAGTGTTAGTCTTGAATTTCACAAGTAATTTATTTGCTGTCTCTGAAAGTGTTTACTGTTAGGGATTATTAAAACTTAAGATACTTATTTATATTTTGGTCCCTTCTATGAAGGAGGGGCAGATTTCAAATCTTAAAAGCCTTACTTCTTGTAGATTAACATTATTTGTTAAGTACTTTAGCTTTTCATTACAGTAGATTGATTTGAGCTATGGAGACAGCTTAGACTTGATGTGATAGACAGTTTCTTTTAACATGCCCCCTTTGTCTTACATGTAAGAAACAATTCTTCTGAAAGGATATATCGCTGGGTGAGTTTTCTTACTTCATTGGTTGCATAGTTCTGGAATGTCACAAGATTTTCGCATTTGCACTGGTCTTTATCTTTTGAAGCTTTTGCTGAAAAACAGAAACAGTCAAGCATAGGCTAAATGCTGAATAAATCAAATGGGATAGGGGAGGAAATGACAAGGACTTAAAATGCAGAGCAGTTTTAAGACAGCTTCCTGTTCTCAAAACATCCAAAGGAATGCTCTGGGGCAGATTTTGTAAATGCTGGATAACACTACACAACACTTAGGCCTATGTATTCAAAGTGCAGTCTGGATTATTCTAAACAAAGGTAATACCTGTTGTTGAGTGAGTGTGACTGTCTTCGAAAAGATACTTGTGGTGTATTGCAAGATTGGGACAGGCAATGACATCTGTGATGGCTATTGTGGTTGGTTCAGGTCCTGCAGGAAACCCCCCAAAAGTCTAAATATCAAACCCACTTCACTTAATTATACAGTATTTTTTTTTCTACTCACATGCACAGAGTTCTCCTTAATAAGTGAGTAATCTCACTGATTGCAGTGAGGATCATTCATGGAGAGGACTAGGGATAAAGATGTGAAGGAACCAAGCTGTTAGGCTGTATTTACTGTATACATGATTTAAGTTGGGTTGCAGAACTGAAAGGGAGTTGTGAAGGTTCCTGTGAGAAACAGAAGTGGTTGAAAGCTGAACATGCTTTAAAATACCAAGCACAGTGTTGAAATTCAAGTTTCCCCATGAAGTAATTAATTTGGATGGTATAAGAAGCATGCAGCCATGCATTTGTTCTAGTGAACCTCAAAATTTTTGTACAAAGCAGATTTAAATTGCAGAAAGGGGGGTGGCTTGGAATGGGGCAGCAAGGGGAATATGTTGAACAATTCTCTCTGAGGTGAATTGTTAGGATTTTTTAGAGAAGGCAGTGTGAAGAGGCAACTTAGCAATGATCTGGGGAGACAGCAGGACACTGAGTTAAAACAGCCAACCTGAAGGCTGTGGACCAGTCTTACGGAGCCTCCCAGATGATGGATCCTGCTGGTGAGCTGACTCTTTCAAGGCTGGTAGGAAGAAATTGCCAAAGGAAATGAGATGACAAAAGGAGTAATAAAAATGTTTACATTCCCTAGAAATGGGCATGTTTCTTACCAGTAACTCAGCATTTGTGTCTTATTCGCATGAAGAATGCCTCATACCTGTGCAGTTTAGAAGAGGTGCAGTATTGTTGGAAACTCCAGGACTCGCCCTTCAACCCAGACTATCAGGAACTCCTCCAAAACCAGAAGTACTTTATGAACATACTAACAGTAGTAAAGTGACCTGACATGACAGCAACCTACTTTGTGTCCTTTAGTGAAAATTCTTGCATGTTTCATTGTCATCCATCAGTCCTTTGGTGTGAACTGAATAAGAATAAATACTGCTTGGAGAAGGAAGAAATTAA